CAAGGATGGCAAGACTTTGTCTCACATACTTTGGACATGTTATAAGGAGGAACCAGTCCCTAGAGAAGGATATCATGCTTGATAAAGAAGGGTGTCAGCAAAAAACGGGAAGACCCTCAATGAGATGGATTGACACAGTGATTACAACAATGTGAGGACGGGGCATGACCAGGCAGTGTTTCATTCTGTTGTACAAACAGTCGCTATGAGTCGAAACTGACTCAATGGCAGCTAACAACAACAGTGATCCCATTGTGGTTACTTCCTTTGAGTCTCTGGGAGATTCAAATGGTTAACACACTCAGCTGCTAACCAAAAGATTGACAGTTCAAGTCCACCCAGAGGCACCTCAGAAGAAAGATTTGGTGATCCACTTCCCAAAAATCAGGCATTCAAAAACCTATGGAGCACAGTTCTACTCTGACACACATGGGGTCACCATGAGTTGGCATCGACTCAACAGCAACTGGTAAGTGATCTCAGGGGTCCTGATACCCAATCCTCTGTAAAGGATGGTGAATCAAAGGCAGAGACTTCCATAACACTTGAGATCAATGTTGTAATTCTGGGTAATCATAACAAAACCATGGACCTATAGTACAATTATGCTTGCTTGTGTTTCTAGTGTTATCTGAACTATTTTGTTAGGTAAGCTTGCAAATGGTCTGCAGTTTTCCTGTTCTACATATTTGCCTTAGTTTTGCAAGAGAGAAATCTTCAGATTATGCTGATTTACAAATTGCTGAATAATACCAGTCCCCATCAGACCACATATGTTCTTGGGAAACTTTCTACCACTCAACATCTCCCTTTTCTTAGCCCCTGGGCCCCTTGCTCCTTTAGTCCTGCCCCAGTCAGAAATTTGTCCACATGGAACCTAACCCTGACGAAATGAACAAACCCTGTTCTTATTCACTCATATGCCAATTTATGGCGCAAAATTGCTTTACCAGCAATCTAATGTAGCAGAGTGTTTCAGGTAAAGGATTTTAAATAGGATATTGAAAGAGAGGCAGAGGGAAATGTCTCCTTTGCCATATATAAACTACAAAACAGCCACCAGTAATTTTTTTTTATTATTATTAATCCATTTTTTATTCCCAGGGATGAGGCTCAGAATGACTTTTGAGCTCCTCAGGTCAGAATACTTCTAAATTAAATAGTAAGCTTTCAAAATAAATCTATTTGTCCACTGTCCACTAAAGCACCCTGATTTAATTAGTGCAAGATGGCACCCCCTCATATTTTTAATTTGCTTGGTTTTGAGTGTTGGTGAACTTGCAGTTTTTCCATATGCTTTCTAACTCTCTGTCTTGGGTTCCTTGTCTTAAAATGAATGGATTGAACTATATCAGAGATTCTTTTTTTTTTTTTCCTCATTGAACAGTCAGTACACATATTGTTTTATAACATTGGGTAATAACCCCACAACATGTCAACACTCTCCCTTCTGGACCTTGAGGACCTTTTTTTCGGTGAAAATATACATAGCCAAGGTTACACCATTTTGAAAGTTTCTACATGTACAATTCATTGACATCGATTACCTTCCTCCAGTTGTGCTGCTATTCTCACTATCGTTTTCCAAATTATTCCATCACCATTATCTTCAACTCACTGTCCCCTAGACTTCCCATCAAACCTTTTGAGTTGCTGTTGTCAATTTGATCTCACGTTGATAATTCTTTTTTTTTT